TTCATTTATATAATAAAAAATAAAACATCCAGTGATGATCAAATACCACAAAAAGATCTATTTGGGTGAAAAAAAATTATATAAATTTCATTTGAGTACAGTGTTCCATGACTGAATATTTGCCAGTTAAAGTAGCGCAGTGCTGAATAGAAAAAAAAATGCCCTGGTAATAAAGGGGGTAAAACCTTCCAGGGCTCAAGTGGTTAAAGAACCACATTTAGATGGCCCTATACATCCTGAGCAGAATTAGCTGTGCAGTCAGGCAGTATATAATAAAAAGAAAAACCCAGCCAAGCAAGAAAAGATGGATGATGTTATTGTATCTGGACAGACTTCACATTCCTGCTATGGGCATTTGTAAGACGCAGAGTTCAGGAAGGATTTTAATGCAGTAAACTCTTTATTGATAGAAAGTAGCAAATATGTATTCACATGTAAATTAGGAAATGTGTGTGCAGTGCCAACAACTCGAAACATTCTCAGTCTCTTGGGAAGGCGAAACAAAGTGCAAAGCCAGGGTGCACTCCAGGAGCTGGAACTGACAGCATTGTGACAGATCTAGTTGTACAACTGAATGTTTATTAACATATCCACTGCATGGGGCATTTTGTGGGAAGGGGTACAAGGGACTCTCATGTGGGAATCATCATATTGTTTGTTTATTTCAGGTACTTATATAGCACTGTCAATTTACACAGCGCTTTGCATATATATATTGTACATTCACATCAGTCCGTAACTCTCAAGGGGCATACAATCTCCCTAACTTACATTCATACATATACTAGGGCCAATTTAGACAGGATCCAATCAACCTACCAGAATGTCTTTGGCGTGTGGGAGGAAAGTGGAATACCTGGAGGAAACCCACACAGGCACAGGGAGAACATGCAAACTCCAGGCAGGTGGTGCTGTGGTTGGGATTCAAACCAATGACCCTAGTGCTTCCAGGGGGAAGTGCTGACCATTTAGCCACTGTGCTGCATCATTGAAGTTCTAATTGCTGAACTCTCCTTTTGAGAATGCTAGTTCTCTGACTGTCATGATAAAGCTTTGGTTCAACTGCTTGGAGTCACTAACCCAAAACAAGTATAAACATAAGGAATCCGGTTTTCTTCCACACTCCAAAGACATGGTTAAATGGTAGGTTAACTGGCGCCTATCTAAATTGGCCCTAGTATGTGTATTTATTAATGTAGGTTAGGGACCTTAGATTGCACCTCCTTGAGGGCAGGGATTGATGTGAATGCGTAAATTAATGCTGCTATATATTTACATGTAATAAATAACCAAAGTAAATAAATTCTGAGAATTTTCTCAATGACAACTGCAGCATGTCCATTCTGGGTCTACAGTATATCATCAGATTATCAATTACCCCAGGGAGCTGACAGTTGCAGCCCCAGTGCTTTCCTTAGGACGATGTGTCTCTTTAAGGATTGATAGATTGCTGTGACACAAGTTTTTTTAAATCTTTTTGTTATTCTGACATGTTTTATTAGGTTAGATACAAGCCTTTGCTTCATCTGTAAATGATTTTTTACTGTATTAGAAACAATACTGTTACTGTTTACTGCCAGTATTTTGTATTAAATATACCAAAGACCTTTAAGGGGGTGGGAATCAAATGCAATAGACTGTTGACCGCATGTAAAGCTGCAGAAGGAGGCCTGTCCAGAAAGAAGGCATTCCCAGTGATGGGTCTTATTAGCTCTCACCAGCTCACACTTTGTACTCCTCTATTTGAAGGTTCCACCATCTTCTTACTGTTATTTAGCTTTGACATTTTGTTTTGAGTTTTCAGAAAATGTTCTGTCTTGAGACAGAAAAATCTCAAACAGTATATATATGTCTGAAATAGAAAGGGCCTTTTTTCATTTGCTAACAACTAAACTGTCCAATGCTTGATCTGCTCAGTTGTAGTCCTTATTCTAGCATCTTTAATCTTAAGCCTGGTACACACGGACCAAATATCGGTTGGTTCAACAGAGACTGACCGACAGTCAGCCCGATTGTACAGCAGTCTATCAAACAGAAGCCGGCCGAACAGGCGTGCTGGAAAAACAGCAGCTGATCAGTGTGTTGGGACAGGGAAGTGGGGGGACGGGGGAAGTCCCTCTGTCAGAACACAATAGGTCAGCGTGGAGAGTGATGTACTAACATTGCATAGTTAGTACAGTGATCTCCTCAGTTTTTTGGGGTTTTTTTTTTTTTCGTTCAGCCTGCTGGGTTGACAGAAAAACTTCCTGTGTGTACCAGGCTTTACAGAGGGCAGCAACAGGGTAACACACCATTTTAGGTGTAGATCCAATTCCCCTTGAGAAAAATAACTGACATAGCTAAGGATAGTATGTTTAGTGGCTAACTACTGTGGAAATCTTGACAAGCTTTCCAGGTTAGATATCAATCTTTGATATTGTGTGGCTTAAAGTTTATTTGGCCTATATCTGAGTATATTTTACCAGCAGCAATCGATTGGCATCACTTCAGCTAAACCAGAAAAAGCAACGGTTTGCCTTGATTGATTGACTTGATTTAAAATCTGAAATTATTGATGGCTTAAATTGTTATGGAACCCAGAACCATGTATTCACTGCATCTGGTCTCCCACAGTACACAGAACATGGAAATGCAATTATTGTAGTAAATATAAACTGCTAAATACCTTTTCTTGTCAGCAGTTAGAGCAGTCTTGTGACTTCTATCAGTGTTCAGCTGAGCACTGGTTAAAGCTTGTGGGAGGAGTTTTCTTTTTGCTCTAGGAGGATGCAAAACCCCTGACCTCTGTCTGGACAGTGCTGATTGGCCCTATGCTGATCACATGCACTCTCACAAGAAAAAAAAAAAAATCTCTAGCAATACACACTAAATTGAGCATGTGCAGAAGAGTTATGGGTTCAGTCTGTCGTGGACATTTGAACAAAAGGAGGGGCAGGGAAGATCAGATCAAACGGCCTTTTTACACAATGCAGAGGATTAACCCCTTAGGTTCCACAGTGAGTATAACAAGTATGCTTTACTGCATGTACAGACTGATTTTACTGTTGTAGGTTTAGTAACACTTTAACTGCTTCAGTTTTCTGATTTGCTGCGGTTAGGATCCCTACTATTATACAGTGATCCACAATCATTTTGTTATTATTAATTCTTTGGAGAAAGGCACAGTAACTCTGGCACATTTCTGGAATCTGTCAAGGGTGCGTGAAGTGCTTAATGTGATAGCCATACAGTAGTTCACTTTTTTTCTTGCTTGTCACACTTCAGTGGGCTTCTGATTGGTGTCTCTGAAAGTCCTGAACATTCAGAAAAATGAATCACCTGGGGCACAAGTCTTCCTGCGGCTATTATACCTGTAGAAGTGTTTCTTCTACACTGTGTGCCTGCACAGGTCATAGTGTACATGATGTCCTGTTACACAATAAGCATGCTTGGAGAGGCATTGAGCAATCCTGCAAAGGATGAAGAATAATTTCTGTCAGAAAATACTCAGAGAGAAATGAATGGGGTCATTCTGAGACAAGGACTTCATTTGCTTTTAAAATAAGTTAAACCCCATACATGTAATTGGAACAGCAGCCAAATAGTAATAAAGTTCTCGTATCCATTTGCCTTATGTGTTCAAGAATCATTAGGAGCTTATTTATAATGCAGTGAATGTGATATTCACCAATCATTCACTGCAGGTAAATCTTCCTGGGGTATGTGCTTTTAGTGACAGTGATTAATTCACCTTTTTTTAGTGAACAGATTGGTGAGCACTATTAACCACTTAAAGAGCGCCTCCCTGCAGTGTATTGCAGACAGGCAGAAACTACAGGACAAGCGACGTACCCGTTCATCACCATGTTTTTCAGGATTTGGATTGCATCATCCCCACTGACCCCCACCGTCATTCGCTGCAGGACATGTTTGTCAGCAGGTGATTTTTGGCCTGTATTTTGTAAAAGCAGGCTCAGGATCTAGTTGGATCTTCTCTCCCTGGAACCTTTTCGTTCCAGGGAGAGATGAAAGACACACCACAGAAGCAGCACATTTGCACCCACACCATAGCTGGATACATATTAATCCCTTAATTGCCATTTTTTTAAAACTCTTTGACCCCCCCCCCAATATTAAACCTTCCTGCTCAGTGTCATTAGTGCAGTGTCAGTGCTATTTATTAGCACTGATCACTGTATTAGTGTAATTGGAGATGTCAGTGGCAGTTAGTCAATTTACACCCAGTGTCAGTGTCAGAATGCCCGCTGCAGTCCCGCTATAGGTCACTGATCACCGCCATTACTAGTGTAAATAAAAATTCCAGTGTATATATATATATATATATATATATATATATATATATATATATATATATATATATTTGTAGATGCTATAACGTTCATGTAAACTAATTAATTTACACTTACTGGGATTTTTTTTACTTCCCAGAGACATGTAGCAGAATACATTTTTGCCTAAATTGTTGAAGAAATTGTTGAAGAAATTTTTTTTTTTTTGTTTTTTTATTGGATATGTTTTATAGCAAAAAGTCAAAAATATTGTTTGTTTTTCAAATTTGTCAATCTTTTGTTCATAGCGCAAAAAAATAAAAAATTCAGAGGTGATCAAATATCACCAAAAGAAAGCTTTATTTATGGGAAAAAATTACATAAATGTAATTTATTTACAGCATTGCATGACCGCGCAATTGTCAGTTAAAGTAGTTAATTTAACTGTAAGGGTAGAAGATTATTGGACAGTTCATATGGAAGATGTTTGCAGGTTTGATATACTATATATGTAGTGCACAAGCCCTGTGATGCATGGATTTTATTTGCAGATTTGTTTCAGTGTTACATAAACGCAAGGATAGTATTTGTAAATTGAGAATAAATATTCCTAAATTAGGACAGAATAAATGTATTTAACACACATTTAAATATTTTTATCAACTAAGTCTCATCTTAGTATCAAGTTAAATCTTTAAATCCAATTTCTGTTTCTCATTTAGGTCATCTGATCAAGACTCTCCAAAGTAAGTGTCATTCTCAATACTAATGTCCTATTTTAAAGCTATAATATTATGATAATGGCTAATAGAAACCCAAACTGAGAAGAAACATGGAGGTCGCCAATGGTGGCCATCTCCTGAGAATGCTAGTTGCCCCATATTTCCCATGCTTCATTGATTTAAAGCAGAACTATAGCTGTTTTGTTAGGAAAAAAAAAAGGTAGAAGATGACGCACCAGCAAGGGAGCTTGTAGATGTTGCATTTTAATTCAAGTTACTAATCTGGAACAAGCACATAAATTTAAAATGTAGTGGTGAATTTTTAACCACTCATCTAGGTACTTTCTTCAATTGTACACTGAGCTGAGGGCATGTGCAGCTCAGTGTACAATTCCAGGCTGGCCAGTCAAAGAAGCCAAGTAGAATATATTCTGCTGGTGAGGCAGCTTGCAGATTTTGCATCACTGTTGTGTCTTGATTTAAGTTACTAGCCTGGAACAAGCACAGATATTTAAAACATAGTGGAGAATTTAGAACTCTTGATCTGCGTACTATTGTACACTATGCTGCGGGCACTTTTGATCTACGTACTTTCTCCAAGAAATGACTCAGCAATTATTAAACTGATTTGATCAGACTAACAGTTGGGCAGCTTACATTTTCAGAATGGGAAGAGTACCATTGTAGTCTCTTTTTACCCTAAACAAGGACTTTAAATAAAAATTAACTTTGTTCTATTTTTTTTGTTTTTGTAAGAGAATTTGTTCTGTTTTATATTTTGAATTTTGATATGTTTTGTATATTTATTTAAGGAACATACTAGAACACAGTCCAAAAGAAAACAGTCTGCACCAGCAAGGTTTATGTCCTAGCTCTCCCAGTGGACTGTCAAATCACTCTTCATCATCTCATCCACTAGAAGGAGTGGATAAGAAGTTTCTAGAAACTTATGATGTTGTCAAGAAAGGAAATTCAACAGATGATTCCAATCAGTACTACTGTGATAAGGTGTGTACTGTGGTAGTGTCAAAGCTCAAATAAAAAGTTAGTTATCGTCTAAAGATCTAGAAAAGATTTTAGTGCTCCTTAGCTCATAAAAAAACTGCAGGAACCTAATGTACTCTCTCTTTTCTTAAAAAGCAGTAATGATTGGTTGCTGGCTCCACAATGAATTAGCAAATGTACTTTTACTTTAGGATCAATAATTCAGCATAACAATTATATTAAAAACAAATAACAATAGGGGTGTGCTCTTTATTTAAATCAGATAAATCATTGCAAATGCCAAAAAATGACAGAAAGCTAGTGTGCCTAAATCATAACATAGGAGTCATATTCATAAATGAAAAACATGAATGCCAATGAAAAAGTGAATGCAAACAATATGAAAGTCCTGCTCAATATGCAGATCTTGCAATCCAATCTTGTGTGCTAATCTTGTGAGAAGAAAATGGTGCCAACATTAAAACACGGCCAAACTAAAGTGTGCTCCAAATGTGTCCCACTAGTGCTCTAAAAAATATTACTCGCATAAAGAGATGAAAGATGGGCACAAGTACTAAACACCAGCATTGCCGTGAGTCCCTCTGGCATGCTTGGTGTCACATACCAGGCCCATGTGTGAGATTTGATGTTGGAGCTCTGCATTATCAGTGCAATGGAAGTTATGATAGCTATATGATTGCAGTTCAGCTCATTGTTCTGAGATCAAAAGAATCTGTTAAGGAACTTTGAGCAATGGTGGGACACCTATGGAGCACGCCTTGGTTTGCTGTGTTTTAAAGTTGGCACCATTTTCTTCTCACAAGGTTGGATTGCAAGATTTGCATATTGAGTAGGGCTTTCTTATTGTTTGCATTTACTTTTTCATTGACATTCATTTATTACACTTATGAATATGACTTTTATGTTACGATATAGTCACACTATCATTCTGTAATTTTTTTGTTTTGGTTGGAAGTGCAGACACAATTCATGTATCAGTCTATCAGCTGGGGTCTTTGTCCGGAGTTTTAGGTTCGCTGGATCTCCCCAAGAGGTCATGTTTTATTCTAAAAAGACAATAAGACTGAAATGGGCAGTATTGGGTATCTGTCATCTTATGTCTTTGGCTATCTTCATAGATGCTGAGCAATTTCTGTTCCTCTCCACTTTTTCAGTACAGTTATAAGGGCTTACCAACTGCTGAATCTATGCCAGGCTGATGCTATAAGGTCTCATCTGGTCCAGTGATGTGATTGTTTGCCCTTCATGCACATAGGAATAGACACACATGCTGCACAAGCATTAAAGCTGAAGTAATTTTTTTCCTATGCAGCACCAAAACATAACTTTTGTCATGTCTGGGTAACTGCTGCAGTCCTGTGAATGGAGAAATTTCAGAAGAATGCAAGGATCTGCCTCTTCCACTCAAGGAACACTTTGCATTCTTGGAAAAAATACTAGGAGTTATATGAATGTAGGAGGCAGGCAAAAGGGGGTGAGTGGCGCAGCTCTTCGCAGTCGCAGCAGCTGATGTTAATCCCAGTAGTGCTATTAGATCTGGGCTGTTGGCAGGACCTGGTGGCAATGGGGAGAAGATTTCTACAACATGTACCAGACAGCTTGACATGGCACACACCTAACTAGAGGTAAGTTATATCACTGTTATTCTGTGTAACTTCTGTGTTATTTCTGTGAATTTGTGTAAATTCTGTGTTGTTCTGTAAGTTCATTCATATAAGTGGATAACTATCATACATGAATTTTTGGTTCTTTATATATGTATTATCTATGTATTTGGGTATTTTTGTGAGCACCCCCTCATCTCTATAATATTTGTTGTTTTTATCGACACATTGAGCGTGGAGAAAGCACAATATATAATAGTACCATACATGACTGTTTAATGGAAATGACAAGTAAGGAGTGCATGAAGCAACTACTGTATTTTTTAGGTTTTCATTGTGTGCTTTGCTCTGTTTATAGGATTGGTTTTATAAAACTGTTGGAAATTTGTAAGTGTTACATTTTCGGAGATTACTATAGCAGTTTTATGGCTTTAGAGCAGTATTATCCCTTACTTTTTACATTTTTTTTTTTTTTTTTTACAATTAAAGTCTAACACTATACAAGTTAATGTGAAACAAATCATCCTATAAGTAGATGAAAGCATATTTTTTTCATTCTAATGGATGTTAGAATGATTTGTAAGCAGTGTGTTTACAAATAGAAAATTCCTCTGTGAGTCAGAGACCACACCAAAGACTTTGTGCTGTTTCCTTGGATTGGCTCTAGTGATAACTGTCAATTGCAACGTAAGCCTAGCCTGAACGTTAAGAAGCATTGATTAGGTGGAACTGGCACTTAAAGGATATAAGCATCTTCTGTTAATTTCCACTAAATATTTATTGACCAAATAGCTCTTGACAAAGTAATAGATCTTTTTTTTTCTTTTTTGTAGAATGAATTTGCCAATGGCGATTTACTTTTGGTCCGTATCACACCAGATGAGGAGGGCAAATTTGGATTTAACTTGAAGGTAATTCTTTTAATAAAAAAATTTTTTTTTTTTCGTTATTTTTCTTTTTTTTTTGGACACACGTTATACTTTATTTCACCCAAAGAAAGGTGTTGTGAAAAAGGTAAAGTAGAAAAAACGTTTTGCATAATAAATTTTTATTGATTTGCAAGAAAAAGAGGAACACTATGCAAAAAGACATCGACTGTGTCTCCAAATAATAGAATTGGGGAAAACGGATAAATTAAATCTTGTCATTATGCAATTCCATACATTTAAAACAATATTAACCACTTCCTGTCCAGACACTTTTACCCCCTTCCTGTCCAATGCAATTTTCAGCTTTCGGCGCTATCACAATTTGAATTACAATTGCGCGGTCATGCAACACTGTACCCATATGAATTTTTTAACATTTTTTTGAGACAGATAAATCTTTATTTTGGTGGTATTTATTCACCGCTGGGATTTGTATTTTTTTTTTGCTATGTAAATGAAAATGTCCAAAAATTTTGAAAAAAAAGTGTTTTTATACAATTTTGCAAATAAATAATCTTTCATCATAAATCTTGGCCAAAATGTATTCCGTAAAATTTTTAGTAAAAAAAAAATACCGTATTTTCCGGCGGACGTATAAGACGACCCCCTACTTTTCCTGTTTAAAATGTAGTGTTTGGGCTATACTCGCCGTATAAGACTACCCCTCTTCCAGTGCACACCAGTGGGAAGAATCGTGCCCCATCATTGGTGTCAGTGGGAGGAATAGTGCCCCATCATTGGTATTAGTGGGAGGAATAGTGCCCCATCATTGGTATTAGTGGGAGGAATAGTGCCCCATCATTGGTATAGTGGGAGGAATAGTGCCCCATCATTGGTGTCAGTGGGAGGAATAGTGCCCCATCATTGGTGTTGGAGGAATAGTGCCCCATCATTGGTATCAGTGGGGGGAATAGCACCCCATCATTGGTATCAGTGGGGGGAATAGTGCCCCATCATTGGTATTAGTGGGAGGAATAGTGCCCCATCATTGGTGTCATGGGAGGAATCGTGTCATTGGTGTCAGTGGGAGGAATAGTGCCCCATCATTGGTGTCAGTGGGAGGTAGTGCCCCATCAGTGGGAGGAATAGTGCCCCATCATTGGTATTAGTGGGAGGAATAGTGCCCCATCATTGGTGTCAGTGGGAGGAATAGTGCCCCATCATTGGTGTCAGTGGGAGGAATAGGCCCCATCATTGGTATCAGTGGGAGGAATAGCCCATCATTGGTATCAGTGGGAGGAATAGCGCCCCATCATTGGTATCAGTGGGAGGAATAGTGCCCCATCATTGGTGTCAGTGGGAGGAATAGTGCCCCATCATTGGTGTCAGTGGGAGGAATAGTGCCCCATCATTGGTATCAGTGGGAGGAATAGTGCCCCATCATTGGTGTCAGTGGGAGGAATAGTGCCCCATCATTGGTGTCAGTGGGAGGAATAGTGCCCCATCATTGGTGTCAGTGGGAGGAATAGTGCCCCATCATTGGTGTCAGTGGAAGGAATAGTGTCCCATCATTGGTATCAGTGGGAGGAATAGTGCCCCATCATTGGTGTCTGTGGGAATAGTGTCCCATCATTGGTATCAGTGGCAGGAATAGTGCCCAATCATTAGTATCATTGGGGGGAATAGCACCCCATCATTGGTGTCAGGGGGGGGTCATGGGAGGAATAGTATCCCATCATTGGTGTCAGTGGGGGGTGGTATAGTGCCCCATCATTGGTGTTAGTGGGGGGTGGAATAGTGCCCCATCATTGGTGTCAGGGGGGGGGGAGGAATAGTGCCCAATCGTTGGTGTCAGTGGGGGGGGAGGAATAGTGCCCCATCGTTGGTGTCAGTGGGGGGGGAGGAAAAGTGCCCCATCGTTGGTGTCAGTGGGAGGAATAATGCCCCATCATTGGTATCAGTGACACCAACGATGGGGCACTATTCCTCCCACTGACACTTGCTGACCCCTGTTCCAGTACGGTGCTGCTGCAGCCAGCATATGTGGTTGCAGCAGCACCTAAGCACGGCACACTTACCTGCATCTCCACTCGATTTTCGCGGGGCCGCTAAGCTCCGCCTCCTCGCCGGTGATTGGCCGCCTGTGTGCCTTTCCTGAGCTACAGTTCTGGCGGCCAATCACCGGTGAGGAGGCGGAGCCGAGCAGCCGCGCGAACATCCAGTGGATGAACCGAAGGAAGTAGCAGCCGCGCTTCCTGGACCGGATCATCGTGGGACCGGAGCCAGGTAAGAGACAGCAGCTCCTGCCCACCCCTGTACTTAGTTTCCCTTCTGTTGGAAGGGGGGGGCGGCGGCGGCACCGCGCCGCCGCCCCCCTAAAAAGTGTCAGCATGCCGTTACCAGCGTATAAGACGACCCCCGACTTTTGAGAAGATTTTCAAGGGGTAAAAAGTCGTCTTATACGCCGGAAAATACGGTAAGCCAAATTAGTTTATAACCAAATATTATAATTTTTAAAAAAAATTTTTTACATTTTTTATTTTTTTTTTTATATTATTTTTTTTTTTGTTTTGTTTTTTTTACATACTGTCACCCTAGCAGTACAGTGTCACCATGGTGACACTGTACTACTTGTGGGGGGTGATGTTTTTTTTGTTTTTTTTTTACAGTGATTGCTTTAACACCCATAAAGGATGTAAAAGCAATCCTTTCTCTTTCTCTCTGTCTGCATTCTTGCAGCCATTGAGAAATACTGAGTGAGCTGTGATTGGTCACAGCTTGTCACATGGTACAAGGCTGTTGTGAATAGTGATCATTCACAGATTTCACACGTAGTAAGCAATGATGTCATAAGTGACATCTTGCTTACTACTTTGCATGTGATCACTGATTGGCCAATCAGTGATCACATGATCGGGACCTCGTACAGAGGTCCTGTCCGACGATCGGTGTTTCACTGTGTCCGGAGAACACAGCGGGCACCGGATCGCGGTGCTGCGCGCTCCCAGGGAGCGCGCACAGCTAGAAATGGCGGGTGCCGTTTATGAAAGGCAACCCACACCCCTGGAGTGCCACCGTCCTGCCGTTTATAAACAGCAGGCGGATGGCAAGTGGTTAAACAACTTATTTACAAAGTGAAGTCAATAAGCGCATAAACTAAACTCAGTAGACAGACCATAATCTAGACCTGCATACAGTTCTATAAGACTTTGAGCAAATCTAAACTGAAAAATGTGCAACTGCCATTGGAACCCATATAGCAGGTAGCTTCAGATTGCCTAAATGTCTGTTCAGTTTTCCAGTTGAGCTCCCAAGCTGCCTTGAAGTTATCTTACTATTATTATTATACAGGATTTATAGAGTGGCAACAATTTGCTCAGTGCTTTACAATATAAAGGGGGACAATACAGCAACGATACAGTTCAATACAAGAGGGTTAGGAGGGCCCTGGTCTTTGGAGCTTACAATCTAAGAGGGAGGGGCTAGTGGTACAAAAGATAATGGCTGTGGGGGACGAACTGATGGCAGAAATGAAAAATTTGGTTATTAGCTGAAGGCAGGATAGGCTTCCCTGAAGAGATAGGTTTTCAGAGATCGCCTAAAAGTGAGCAGAGTAGGCAATAGTCAAATAGATTGGGGTAGAGAGTTCCAGAGGATGGGAAAGGCTCTGAAGAAGTCCTGGAGACAGGCATAGGAGGAGGAGACAAGGGAGCAGGAGGTCGTGGGAGAAGCAGAGAAGACTGTTTGGGAGACAACATTGGTGATGTAATTGGGGACAGAGTTATAAATGGCTTTATACTATGCAAATATCACCTCAGTTTCCCTGGTCAGGGGCTTGGCCCCACCCCTTCAAACACTGTTGGACAGTAAGGCAGGCCATAGGCAATAAGATTTTCTTTCCTGCAGTAAAGAAAATCAGTTATTTCCCCCATCAACACTCCCACCAGATTTATTGTGTTCTCCCATTGGGAAGGGGGGAGCCGTCCCTGCTGGGAGAACACAGTGATTATTCCTACTGGCTCTGGCTGCTGGCAATAATCGCATGAAAACCAGACAGACTGGTTGTTCCCAAGTCGTACAAGAATCGAATTTGGTACAATCAGCCTGCCCATGGAAGGTTTGAATCTCAGCTGGTCCCTGTTGACCTAGTCAAGATTTGAACCATCTATGGCTGACTTAAGGTTGTCTATTACATGTAGGCTAATGAGGTGCGTGTTGGGGGAGGGGACAAGCTTTTTACCAGGAAATTCTGTGTGGTGCCAGCAATTCTAATTTTTTTTCCACCTCCACCAGGTTTGTTTTAAGGTGACAGTGTCACTTTGCCTATTCAGTGGCGGGCACAGAAAAAGAGGTGGGGGAGTTCTGGAAAGGTGACAATAAAGTGTTCTGGGGGGTGGAGAGGCGGCTATTCAGACACTGTGTACATGCCCTGACTTGCCTTTTTCATTACATTGGGCTACAGATTCCCATCCAGCCAATAATTCAACTGAATGGAGGCTTTGCATTACAGCACAGTATTTAAAAACACCTGGAAATGTGCATTCAATTAAATTCAATAAAGCCCATTTGCTATTTTACTGGTGTGAATATACCCAGGCATCAGAAAATCTATTGCTTCTGATAAAGCCTGTTCCTGCCAGGTCATTTTGTTGTGTTGTGTTCCTGCATGCTGCATTTCCACAGAATTAATTTGGGGATACATCAGCCCAATAGGGTATTATCCCTGCCTCTAAAATTACCTAATAGGCCCCCTTCTGTGGTCTGTAAAAGTTAGAAAAACACTGTATACAACTCTGTTGTATGTAATTGTCACACGGGACCCCCAAACCTGGATATATATTGTGAATACCGCAGGTTTTCAGTGTTTTTCACAAGGGGAAATAAATGTTTTACTTTTTTTTTTTTAAATGTTGCAAAAGAATTTAATTGCAGCAAAGCCAGGAGAACGTGGCATGCCCTAAATGATAATGCGCTTGTTTATGCTGTCTTACCTGCCTACCATTGTTGTAATTGCCTAACATGTTAGCAGGCGGCATAAGAGCTTTAAAAACAAGGCTAAAATGTTTGTTTTTGCTTTATCTCTAAGGCCAAGTGAACAAGGTCTTAATCTGGCCATCCGCTTGGCAAAGTGTGGCCTCCCCCAAGCTAATTATGTTACAGCAGCATGGCTCTCCGCTTTATACAAGGAAATCTGTTTGCCTCTACATACATAGGCTAGGTCTCCTTCAAGGGGATTTTTATTGCCTTATTCCACACCAGCCCCCCCCCCCAGAGTGTCTCCCAGTGGTACAATTCCATGTTTTGACTGAACAGCAGAATTGACCTTTCTCCTCAAACCAGTTTCTCTCTTCTTTGGTGGCTTTACTTCCTACTGGTGTCCTGGGATCAGTCACTCCCTCCTCAGCAGTGCAACAATCTCACTATGTATGCAGGTCTTTTGGGCTGGGGAGTGTGCTAGATCCCCTTTCTGTTCAGAATCTTTGGAAAGCAGAGTTGTCCCTGCCAATCAACGCCAATCACTTGACCTCCCTTCCCAACAGTCATCCAATATGAGTCCTATCAGACAGAACTACCAACATGGAATACAAAAATGACCATCAAGGCACTAGAGGGCAGGCAATAGTGGGGGGGTGTATCCTGTATCTTCTGCTGCATACAGCAAAGCATTCCAGCTTAAGCTGGTCATAGATGAGTCAGTTTTTGCATTTAACCAGCGGATTAAACAAGAAAATTTATACCTGATTCCCCCATCCACACATTCGTGCTCAGTGGGGTAATCATCCCCACTGTATCTTTGTATTCTGACAATGGGTAGAATTCTCTGCTGTCAGAATACTCAGTTGAGTGCTGCAAACTATAGACTTGTGGACATTTCCCAACAGGGCGGTTGAAGAGAAGTTGTTTGGTAGATCCACTTCTCTTCAACCACAGTGGCCATATATGGATCGAAATTTGGCCAGTCCCTGCTGAACTGGCTGAATTTCAATCCATGTATGGCCAGCTTTAGAGCAAATTTGCAACTTTGTCTCTTGCTGTCATCTCTCCCTCTTACTAAATTGCCCACTCATTTTTTCTTTTCTTTTTTTTTTCCTTTTTATTTTAATACTTATTATCTCTTGAAATATCACACTTGCCAGAGGGGTGTAGGACCATAAGTGTCAATCCCTTGCAAGATTTCGCACCTGCATAGATGAAAGCTGCTGTGCCATCTATGAGTTGTGAGATTCTGTCAGCAGAGAGCAGAAGTAAGCAGAAGTAAGCAGTGGAGAACCACCTGACAGGAGAGTTGTGGGAGACAGGGCAACAAGATCTAGCGGCACATGACGGGATCGGCTGTAAAAACAGGAAGTAAGTTGGGGTGTCCCCCAATTAAGTGTTATAGAAAACAATTTTTGGGTATAAACAAAACAGGATTTTATGGTATAACAAAACAAAATACGATTAATGTTATAAAACAAATGACAAAACAGTATGGAGATTAAGAGAGAGTAATTTTGTTAGTAATGTTAATTTTCTTTCCTCCTTTTTGTTTAAAATCTTTTAACATTTTGCAGGGTGGCGTTGACCAGAAAATGCAGCTTGTGGTTTCCAGAATTACCCCAGGATCACCAGTAAGTGTATATACTTCTTTATAGGTACTATGTGAACCTTAATTTGAAGGCATAGATTTTAATACTGCATTTACAGTATTGCTTTCCAGTAATGTGCGTTTTCCCATTGTTACCAAGAACAGAACATGATGGGTATACACATGAACAGATGGATATACGAGCATTGCTGTGATCTGCCATTCATTTTAAAGCTATGACAACAAACATACTGTATATGATAAACAAAAATGCACTTGTGTCTTAGCTTGTTAATAAGCTGTGTGTTGTGGGGCACTACATTGAAAAAAGTAGTCCTAGTACATTTTTTTATTTTAAAAATGAATGTAACACGCATTAACATGTGTGCATTATTGCACCATTGGTTATTATCGGTATGCTAAATCGTCACTACAGGTGAATCCTGAAAAACATGGGTATATTTCTATGTTATAACATGCCTACAACTACAATAGATTATGCAAGGCTAACTGAATTATTACAAAGGGAACTTAAAATAGCTTATATTGCATGGTGTTTAAACTGGGACATGACCACAGTTCATCTGGTTTAACCAGCTCATGCTAATTACACTGGGGATCCAAGTGTAGTAATAAAAAAACAATTTAAAGCAGTTCTGTATGTATTCCTTCTTCACAACCTGCCCTGATGCCCCCCAGAACAAAAATCAGGTTTGGTTTACTACTACTATTAGGATGGGTCCAGTCAACCTAATGCAAATAAACGCTAATAAAATCATTCTTTATAGTGACTTCTTATGCTCCTTAAACTGTTCATTCAGTTACTTTTAAGCTATATGCACATTGGGCGTTCAATTCCAGCATTTTTGTGCACCCAGGAAGCACAATTTCAGCACCCAGACCCACTGCCTGCAGCGCTCCAAAGTCTATGACAGGCTGAAATATGCTGTGGCTGGACACTGTACCAAATTGTACTTCTGTTTAGGGGTGTATGCCTGGAGCGCAGGTATGTTGCATATTTAAGCCCATTAATTTTGGGTGGGCTTGGGTCAGGCTGCGCTGCTCCAAAAGTCGTGCACACAACTGCTTCATAAAACACACTACAACTGAATCGCATATTAATTTATTGGCGTGCGGTCTGTTGCAGGCAAACGCACTGCATTTGTGACCTGTGTTTGGGGTGTCATTTATTTAATATTGATGTCCTTTCCAAAAATTGCACTGGTTGAATATGCACATATGTGAATGTGACCCATAGTAAATCATGTTAAATGGACTGTAGTGCGTTTCTGAAAATGCACTGAAAAATGCATAAGTGTGAACCTGGCCTAACAGCAGTTTTTTAAAACTACTATGAATAAGCACTAGCATGGCGCAAAATATGTCAGCGAGTCGTCCTGCTCCTCTACTGCTATTTCTTTGATGCCTTTACCATTTGGCGGCTTTCTAAATAAAAGTAATCTCTACTTCCTTTTTCTCTTACATGTTGCAACCAGCATTTGTGGGTAAGGATTAGTCAATATGTCTGCATTAGTTTCACTGTGGGTTCATCTAATCCTGCTAGCAACTCCTGGCCATTGTTAGGGTTAGCACCCCAGTTTTATGTGGCTTTTTTTGGCACTGGTCTGTTTGTTGTCATGAGGACATGCACCAATGCAAAAAAAGTAAAAAAAAAACCAAAACGGTACAGTGGGGAGAGGGTCTTTTCTTAACCTCGGAAACTACTAAGCAACTTATTCACTCCCTTGTTATCTCTCGCCTTGATTATTGCAACTCCCCCCTCATTGGCCTACCTCATCGCAGGCTATCCCCTCTTTAGTCTATCATGAATACTGCTACCAGACTCATCCACCTTACTAATCGTTCCGTATCTGCCACCCTTCTCTGCCAATCCCTCCACTGGCTTCCCATTGCCCAACAGATAATATTCAAAACATTAACAATAACATATAAAGCCATTTATAACTCTGCCCCAAATTACATCATCAATCTTGTCTCCAAATACCACCCAAACTGTACTCTCCGCTCCTCGCACGACCTCCTGCTGTCTAGCTCCCTTGTCTCCTCCTCCCATGCTCATCTCTAGGACTTCTCCAGAGCTCCCCCATCCTCTGGAACTCTCTACCCCAATTTATCAGACTATCGCCTACCCTGCTTACTTGTAGGCGATCTCTGAAAACCTATCTCTTCAGGGAAGCCTATCCTGCCCTCAGCTAATAATGGAATCTTCTACTCCTCCTACCACTCCATCCCCCACAGTTATTACCTTTTGTACCCTAGCCCCTCCCTCCTAGATTGTAAGCTCCAAGGAGCAGGGCCCTCCTAACCCTCTTGTATTGAACTGTATTGTTGCTGTATTGTCTCCTGTTATATTGTAAAGCGCTAAGCAAACTGTTGGCGCTATATAAATACTGTATAATAATAATATATAAATACTGTATAATAATAATATATAAATACTGTATATAATAATAAGTAACATTAAAAATAGATAAATCCTTTAAGTAAAATTCTTGGGAGATGTACATGGTTTTACAGAACTGTACAATTTTCATGGACAGTCTCAGTGACAATTTACATTTGCAGTGCATATCTGTCTAATTAATTTTTTTTTTTTTTTGCAATTAGCTTGGCTTACATAGAGTAGCAGCAACCCAATCTGATTAATTTCAGTTTCTAAGAAAAAGGCTTTTTTCTGGTAGTTTTACCAGTGACTCATGCTTTTTCTTCAAGTGGAAATAGGTTTTCTTTGACTGTCAAACTGAAACTGGCCATTAGTTTGTGGAGAGTTTTTTTCAAACTCTCACTAAAGGATATGTTCACTTTTTTTCTAAATTCCAGCTTTCCTATGTTGCAATGTACCATTAATGTACCTATTTCAGAAAAGAAAGCTTTCCATATATTCTAGGGCAGGCTTACCTCCACTTCAAAAAAAAAAAAAAAAAAAAAAAAAAAAGGTCTTGACAGCAGCTAAAAGTGATTGCTGACCTCAAATCAATCCAAAAATAAAAGTAACTACTTGCCCTCTGTAAGATTTACCCCCCTTGATGACCAGGCCATGTTTTGCAATACAGCGCTGCGTTACTTTAACTGACAATTGTGCGGTCATGCAATGCTGTACATAAATTAAATTTGTCATTTTTTCCCCTACAAATAGAGCTTTCTTTTGGTGGTATTTGGTCACCTCTACATGTTTCATTTTTTGTGCTATAAACAAAAAAGAATGACCGTTTTGAAAAAAATATTTTTTACTTTTGGAGAAGCAGAGCTGTGCCTGTATTTGTAAACACAGGAACAAGCTGGATTACCACATGTGAGTAAAAGCAGCACGTTTGCACCAACATAAAATTGACAAAGAAAATATTGTGTGTAGTGTGGCGCTGCTAAGTGCATAAATAACAAAAGCCAATAAAAGAAAATAATATATCAAAAACCAAGAAAGTGAAGCAAAAAAGGATGTATCAGCAACCACCCTGCTGGCCATCAAACCTGTGCGTCAATCAATCATCTTTAAACTCAAAAATATATATTAGAACATCGTGCATGAGCACCAAATTACAGCTGTATAGAAAACACTAAATAGATGCAATTGAAAATAAAAAAGAAATAAACACTCGGCTGACCATCAAACCCATATAGGGAAAATAGTGCAAAATCAAATAAAATAGAATAATCTAACATAAGTAGATCTGGTATGTTCAAAAGAAATACCCAGCAGTAAGGATTTTGTGTAGCTGATCAACAATCATCTATCAATTGTTCTGATTCATCTGAACTGATGACATTTGAAATGTGATTGCTATATTTATTGCACACCATTGCTTTACGCAAATATTAGTTAAATACGTCTAAAGCTTCCAAAGAACAACAGTATTGTTTTCCATGATTACAGGATGCAGAGATAATTATAAATGAAATACATTTTGTTATATGTATTAAGTTAAATTTGAAGTTATAAGATTGTTTGTCCTCTTTCAGTGAATTGTACTTTCTTTTTTGCTAATGTAAATATGGGAGTAAAGTAGAATAGAGAAAGTAATGGATTATTGTGGTATACCTGACATAACCAGTAGAATTTTTGTTAAAGCTCAGTTGAACACACTTAATTTTCTTAGTGTACTAAGAAAAAGTATACGTTGGAGTCAGACCGTGGTTCTCAAACACAAGCCCTCTTGCAGTCCGACACGGCTCCGTGAATACTGCCCTAATCAATGCTCCTCTCACTCCATGACCAGAGTGGTTGGTTAGCGATTAACGCAGTGTTCGAGTGAGGAAGATGGGTCATAATGGGGAATAAGACTGCTGCTTGTGTGTGAAAATAGCAGGCCGAGTGCTGCCAATATGGGGTTTTTAACACTTACTGCTGCAATTAGATTAAAAGAACTTCAAAAATAGGAATTTATTTATTTATTTCAGGTACTTATATAGCGCCATCCATTTACGCAGCGCTTTAACATATATATATTGTACATTCACATCAGTCCCTAACCCTCAAGGGGTGTACAATCTAAGGTCCCTAACTCACATTCATACATACACATATTAGGGCCAATTTAGATAGGATCCAGCATGTCTTTGGAGTGTGGGAGGAAACCGGAGTACCCGGGGGAAACCCACGCAAGCACAGAGGAGAACATGCAAACTCCAGCAGGTGGTGCCGTGGCTGGGATTCAAACCAACGACCCGAGTACTGCCAGGCAAAAGTGCTAACCATTTAGCCACTGTGCTGCCCAAATTTGTTACTGTATATGCAGCCTGACTGCATTATGGTAATTAAGAGGTTTCATTTGGGCATTAACAGTGGAAAAAGCATGGAAAAGACATTGATGTGCAGTATGCTGTCGTAAAGATTTCATCAAGCTGATTGCCCACCACTGCTAAAAGTTGTTTTCATATTAATTGTTATGGTTTACATAGTATTATTATTGACACACTTACACTATAGAATTATGTTTTTCCTGTTATCAGGCAGACAAGTGCACCCCCAAGCTTGTGGAAGGAGATCAGATTGTTCTGATCAATGGTCGTGACATCTCAGAACATACACACGATCAGGTGGTTATGTTTATTAAAGCCAGCCGGGAATCCCACACAAGAGAGCTTGCTCTGCTAGTTAGACGGAAAGGTAAGTTGTTTGGTATTTTTGAAACATTAAAATAAAGGCTAAGTTCACCTTTAGCAAACATTTTTTTTTCTACAGGAGCCTGCAAGGTATTGCACCCGCAATCAGTGCATCGTGGGTGCAATGTCAGGCTTCTTCAGACAGGGCTTATTTTTAGCGGGGGAATGCACCTCCAGCACTGAATGTATGTAATGGCAAGGGGGGCTGTGGTGTGCTGGAAGGTCTAATTAAGCCGGGGGATCTATTGTAACTGCTTTTTTGCATGGGGGGTATAGTGTTACTGGTGGGGGATACAGTGGGGCAAAAAAGTATTTAGTCAGCCACCAATTGTGCAAGTTCTCCCACTTAAAAAGATGAGAGAGGCCTGTAATTGGCATCATAGGTAGACCTCAACCATGAGAGACAAAATGAAAAACAAATCCAGACAATCACATTGGCTGTTTTGGAAAGAATTTATTTGCAAATTATGGTGGAAAATAAGTATTTGGTCACCTACAAACAAGCAAGATTTCTGGCTCCCACAGACCTGTACCTTCTTCTTTAAGAGGCTCCTCTGTCCTGCACTCATTACCTGTATCAATGGCACCTGTTTGAACTTGTTATCAGTATAAAAGACACCTGTCCACAACCTCAAACAGTCACACACCAAACTCCACTATAGTGAAGACCAAAGAGCTGTCGAAGGACACCAGAAACAAAATTGTAGACCTGCAGCAGGCTGGGAAGACTGAATCTGCAGTAGGCAAGCAGCTTGGTGTGAACAAATCAACTGTGGGAGCAATAATTAGAAAATGGAAGACATACAAGACCACTGATAATCTCCCTCGATCTGGGGCTCCACGCAAGATTTCACCTAGTGGGGTCAAAATGATCACAAGAACGGTGAGCAAAAATCCCAGGACCACACGGGGGGACCTAGTGAATGACCTGCAGAGAGCTGGGACCAACGTAACAAAGGCTACCATCAATAACACACTACGCCGCCAGGGACTCAGATCCTGCAGTGCCAGATGTGTCCCCCTGCTTAAGCCAGTACATATCCGGGCCCGTCTGAAGTTTGCTAGAGAGCATTTGGATGATCCAGAAGAGGATTGGGAGAATGTCATATGGTCAGATGAAACCAAAATAGAACTGTTGAGTATTGAGATGAACTTTTGATATTGACCAAATACTTATTTTCCACCATAATTTGCAAATAAATTCTTTCCAAAACAGCCAATGTGATTGTCTGGATTTGTTTTCTCATTTTGTCTCTCATAGTTGAGGTCTACCTATGATGCCAATTACAGGCCTCTCTCATCTTTTTAAGTGGGAGAACTTGCACAATTGGTGGTGGCTGACTAAATACTTTTTTGCCCCACTGTATATTATTGTTGAGGGGTCTTATGTTACTGGTGGTCAATTGTTGCTGAGAGAGATCTACAGTACAGATGAGAGAGAGGTCTTCTTCTGTTGCTGGCTGCTGGAGGGTCTTTTAATACTGGCTGCTGGGAGATCTGTTGTTGCTGGAGGGGTCTGATGTTGCTGAGGTGGTATTTTGTTGTGGGGGGGTCAATTGTTGTGGAAGGGGGGGTCTAAAAGGGGTGGTGCTGGGAGCTGATTGGGGGTAAAACCAAGGGACGGTGCTCGGAGGTGCATAGGGGCAGAGACAAAGGATGAGCTAGAGGGAGTTCCTGCACCTTTTCTCTGAGGAAAAAAAAAGCCCTGCCTGCAGACATTTCCTTGAGCATTCCTACCTGTACCTCTGTATGGGCTTTCTCTTTGAAAGCTAGAGGAAGTGTCCGTGTACTATGAGAACTTTCATCAGCACCCTCACAGTCCATTGAGAACTACAAGCCATTTTCCACGGTGGCAGACAGGACTTGTAGCGTCTATATTCACATATCTCTGTGAATGAATGAAACAGTTGTGCAGGCCGAGGCCTACATAGATTATAACATGTGACAATGGCTGCTGGGAAGATGAACCCCAGCCTGTTGTCAAAAGGAAGGGTGGATGAGGAAGGTGAGGGGGGGCTGCTGAACATGTTACATATTACACCCTAAATATAGGTGTAAGCTGTTCAGAAGGTAAACTTATCCTTTATTGTCAATTAGAATGTTTCTGGTAATATTTTTTGCTGCACTTTATTTCACTATTATAATTGTCTTGTAGTAAATATTTTCAAACTGAGAGTAGTACATACAACAAAAAGCAATCAAAAAGTTTTGAAATAAAAACAATATGTATATTGTATGATTATTAGAGGAAACATGATGCTGTTAGCAAATGAACAATGACCAAGCTGAACTGCAAGTTCTAGTGACTGAAAACCAGTGACTGGCTATAGTGATCCCAACTCAAACTATCAGATCCATAGTAACATCAAGCCAGCAACTCGGTGTGATCCATAAAATCCAAATCTTTATTGGCTACATGCTAAAACACATTGTTAATAAGCTAACATGTTTCAGCCATGACAGCCTGTCACAGCCTCTGAGTGCTATGAGGTAGGCTGTCACAGCCGAAACATGTTAGATTGTTACTAGTATGTTTTAGTATGTAGTCAATACATTTTTGGATTTTATGGACCACACCGATTTGCCTGCTTGATGTTACTATTGACATGATGACTTTAGCTCTGCAAAATCTTAAAGTACGCTTACCTTTAAATATGTTCCAGAATGGCTATTGTAATAAACCCCAGGAACATGCCTTTAAACTGTCTGGTCTGATGCACTAGGGGTCCCAAAACCCAGGTTGCTCTTGTATGCAAATGTAATACTTCCCTGTTTTATCATTGATGTCCTGCTCCCTCTTATCCTTTTGTACAGGACAGTAAATCCACCCATTCTATAGGGGGGTGGGAGCATTCAAAAGGTTTAAGAGTGGGGCAGGCAAGCCCTGGACATTGTTGGTTGTAACGAAATGTGCATATGAGAAAACCTTTAATAGTCTGGACTCCTGGGGAGGACACCTGAAGACGTGTTCAAGCATTACTAGATGAAACATTCTGTTGACTGTATTCCTGGTAACGTGGTACTGTGTTGTCATATGGTGTACTAGTCTATGATCCATTCTACATGTACCTCGGGCAGAATTTGTAAGACGTGGAGTATTTTTTTTTTTTTTTTTTTTTTAGAAAATATGGGTGATCAAATCAAGCATATGTATTTTTAATGTGGTTCAAGGAAACTATTAGGAATCACAGAATAACGGGGTTAATACCAGGCTTGTCATATTATTTTATAGTTTGCCAGTGTCCTAACGTCCCCTGTAGGCAGCAGCCTCTGAATTCTTGTGTCCCTCAGCCAACTCCATGAAATACATTTTATGGTAGATACAAAAGTCTTTTTATCAAAAATCTCAAAATTCATGCATTCAAATTCATTTTCCTGGTTTGCCCTTGAATTAAAGGAGACAAACAGTTTATGTTCTGGAACTGCTGGCTGCAGAAAGTTATGTAAACTATACAAGCCAGCCCTCATTTTTTTCTGGGCTTCTCTGTGATATGAAGCTTGACCCACTTTCTGCACATCACTTCCCTGCCTCTCGCGATGTAGACCAATGCATACTTCCTGGATTTTATCTTACATAACTATGGGGTTCAATAGTCTGCATTATATGCATTCAAAACTTTCCTTTTCTCTAATTTTTCTTTCTGCAGTTGTGAGACCTTTTGGTGAGATTAAATCAGAAGATGGGGCAGATCTACAATTTCTTCAACCAATAATTCTTCCCACTGAATACTGTGACACACTGCAGGGGTCAATGGAGCAGCTCGCTAAAGGCCTAGAAACTGGAGTTGTACTCATTCAGTTTGAGGTAATATATTTAAAATATGAGGCGGGTATGAGCAATTTTGAAAAATACGTCTGTTGCTTTACAAAGAAGGTATAGCTTTGCTCTTGGTTTACGAAAGTGGTAATGCCTTCCTGCCCAGCCCTAGCATCCCTTTTAAATGAATAATGCGATCACCACTCTGACACTGTGTTCCAAATAATAATTCCATATTTTGCATACACTATCTCTGGAGTCTATGGCACTGTACTATCAATTAGCACAATGTTTTATAGTCTGTGAAATCACTAAAAAAGTATATGAGGGTGTTATATATGGGGGTGTTACTTACTGGACTGTATATTTGTTGTTTTTAGTTTATCTAACCACGCTTTCAAGAACCTTCTATTTTACATTAATATTTTGTAATTCTTGTTGTTCTAATTATTTTTTTAACTAAACTTGGTATTTGGCAAAAAATAACAATAGTCTTTTGTGTTAAATAAAGTAAAATGTGTATGCTCTCTCATTTAATCTTTGGTTTTTATATGACTGCACAAAGAAGACCATCGAAATTTGAAGAAGAAGTGGTTCTAAGCTCTAAAACGTTTTTTACCTTAAAGTGATAGAGCGGAGAGTGGTTAGAACAACTTTGTCTTTTTTTTTTTTTTTTTGAAACAATATTTATTGAATTTTATACATTTGATACAAAAATATCTTGATATACAAATCTGTAAACCATTTTTCATAAGAGTGATGAGTACAGAAGTTAGTACAACTTCTGTAATGGAAACAAACGGCAGTGTCCACACAGGCATCAATGACACAACAAATCAGTACAACATAAGCTGAATTCCAAAAATTGAGCAATTCCCTAGGAACGAAAGCTTGGTTATGAAGGCCTGAATAATAACATCTCTATCAAAAAGACAATTGAGAAAGAGTGTCATATGAGCTAAGAATCATAAAGAGGAGCATGGGCTCCATTGTGTGACTGGGGAATAGAGAGCTGTGGGGTGGGGCTACAAGAGGAGTTGGACAATCGTAGTTTACCCAACTTATTGTTAAGTTGAGCTTTGAGATACAAAACTGAATATCGAAAAGGTTCCATATGAGCGGCTAGTTCCGCAGGAGTAGAGGAGTATTCCATGAAACACCACCATCTAGAAATGAAGCGGCATGTAGACTTAAAATTCTGAGTAACAGTGTCCAGCTTCTCCAGATTAAATAGGGCAGTTAATGCCTGTATTACTATCTTGAGCTGTGGGGGGGTTGGCAGTATCCAAGCTTGCATGAGCTCTCTGTGAATACCAATAAAAAAAATATGGATCCACTGATGAAGAGCATTAGGACTTGCCAACATTGCAGGATCTTGATAACTGAAGAGACAGAGCATAGGGTCTTTGGTGAGAGAGATATTGTACAGATGATTATTGTAACAAAGTATTCGATCCCAGAAGGTGGAAACTCAGGCACATTCCCAAAGGCGAAGAAACAAAGTGGGTTGAGTGTGGTCGCTCCAAGGACACGTGGGGGGGAGTGACAGCTGGATTCTCTGAGAAAGGCTAGTAAGCTCTGTGATTTTGAATTAAATTTCCTGCCATGTTTCACAGAGGACAAGTGAAGAGATTTTCCGGTATCCCGACAGTATTTTATTTGGAGTTTCATCTGTAGACTGTATGGAAGTCCACGGGTTAAAAGGAGTAAGATGGTATTTTGCAGACTGGTGTGAGATTAGATGAGGGTAGATTGCAGAGATGGAATAGTTATCCAGACACAGTAGAATTTCTATAAAGGAGCACTGGAAGGGATGATGTTTTGGAGAATAGCACGTCCAGTGGAAGGTCACCAGCTGATGATAGTAAAAGATATGAGATCCTGGTAAGGACTATTTGGCAGCTAGTACTGAAAAAGGCTGGAAGGTACGTTTGGTATCATCAAAGATGGATATGACTTTAGTAATTCCGCTATGAGACCAGTGGGTAAATGCTGCATGCTCACTCGCTGGAGGGAACACGGGGTTTCCAAGAATAGGCAGGTGGGAGGATATCCTTAGCGGTAGGCCAAGTAGTTTCCGTATTTCCTCCAGGCCAATATTGTGTCTCTGATCAGGAGATTCGATCGAAGAGATCGAGGTAAGGCCTTGAGGTTAGCATGCAGATTGGCTGGAAGGTGTAGAGGAGACACCAGGGCCTCCTCTAGGGAGTAGATCGAGTAACATGATTTCCCAGTAATCCAACCAAGACTCTGATGAAGAAGACAGGACAGGTTATAAAATCTAATATTCGACAGGCCTGCACCGCCCTCACTCTTTGGGAGACTATGCTTTTGTAGTGCAATACGCATTTTTTTTACGCTGCCACAGACAGGTCTGTAGAGCCCTATGAATATTCTGAACATCAGAATGTTTTAACAGAATAGGGAGTGTTTGCAAAGGATAGAGCAATCTTGCAAAAGAAACCATTTTGTACAGATCGTCCAAGCTTCCAGTTTCTGTACAATCTTGTTGATTAAAGGAGGGTAATTTAGGTAATAAAGAGATGATGGTTCTCTGCCTATGTGGATGCCCAAATATGTAATGGATTGAGTAGCTATACCAAAGGGATGTAGTAAAGTTCAAAAGGTGTACTTTGCTCTTATCAAAATTGATTCTTATGCCGGAGCATTTACGTAAGGTCGCAAACAGGTCCTGAAGTAGTAGGAAGTCTTTGGGTGGATCTGAAGAGAGCTGAGTGGAGAGTAAAGTCGCCAATCATGACACCCCTAACCCCTGACGTCGAATTGAGCAGTCTGGACAAAGGTTCAATGGCGATGTTAAAGAGGAGGGGGGAGAGCAGGCAGCCATGCCTGGTGCCTTTGGTCAAGGGAATGCTTGAGGAAATAAAATCAGGTGTGACTAATCTAGCTGCAGGCAAGGAGTACATGTTGTAAAAATTCCAAAATGGGGCCCAAAAAACCCAGCCTCCTCAACCATGAAGAGCCAGGCAAAGCTTATGTTCTCGTCTAAAGATAGCATCTAAAGATATAAGTGATGGATCCATATGTGGGTTTGTTTTAGCATGTTCCAGGGCTTATAGTAGTTTGCGAATGTTGAGTGTTGCCGTGCAACCCGGCATGAACCCGGATTGGGCCGAATGTAGTATTTTGGGAAGCAGTAGGGCCAACCTGGATGCCATGATTTTGGAAAGTATTTTGGCGTCTAAATTGATTAAAGGGATCGGTCGGTATGATCCCGGGGAGCAGTGGGTCTTTTCCCTTCTTAGCTATGAGCCTAATATGCGCCTGGGAGCTAGTAGGTAGATATGGGCCATCTTCCCATATTGACTTATAGACATGATACAGAGTGTCTGGGATGAATTCCAAAGTCAATTTATAGAATTCCGCACTAAGACCGTCAGGTCCAGAGCTTTAGCCAAGGGTAGGTGTTTGATATTCAAATGTCGTCTTGTATAATGGGAGGCTAGAATGTCCTCAGCAGCTCTAGAGTCAATCGGGTCCTCTGAATACAAGGAAGTGTAATAGGATGTGAGAAGGTCATTAATATCAGATGACCGTGTCAAAACATTGCCCGTGGGAGTACAAGGGCCCGCACTAAGCTGTGCAATAGCTTTCCTGCCTTATTGCCATATCTATAAATTTTAAGGTGGGAAAGGCCAATTTGGCTGCTTCCTGGTGTTCAGCCCAATAATCAAAGGCTCATTTGGCAGATTGGCAATTCAGTCTACCCTTGTGCGTGTGATTGAGGGAGAGTGCAATATGTGCCTGACAAAGATATTCTCTCACCTGTTGGTAAAGCAGTTGGGACCGTTTCTTAAATTGTGTGGTATGGGAGATTATGCGCCCTCTAAGAAACGCCTTCCCATCTTCCCAGAATAGGTTAGGATTGGTTAAATGTGCTCCATTCATGTCCACAAATTCCTGCCATGCTGCAAATAGATGAGACAAAGTCTTCCTTATTGGCTAAATAAGCAGGGAAGCACCAAGGGCTACGGGATTTTGGAGTTTTCAGCCCAGATAGCTGTAATAGGATGGGGCAATGGTTGGAAATGGCCATATCACAAATGGTCATTCTACATAGCAGGGACAAGAGAGGCTGTGAGCAAAAAAGATAGTCAATGCGAGAAAAGGAGTCATGAGGGGATGAATAGAACATGTATTCCCGATCTGTCAGGTGTTGGAGACGTTATACGTTATGCAGACTAAGCACATCAATAGATTGTCCTAAAGCAGTAGAGGGGGGACACTGAGGCAGTTGTCCGGGATGTCGTGTGAGATGATCTCTGTTTCAGTCAATATCATTGTGCATAACTGCGTTGAAGGGGTAGAGGAGAAAGGAGGAAAGACGGAAAAAAAAAAAAACCCCTGAGAACCCTCTTTGCCCATCCAAGTGGATAGGTGTGCAGGGTGGATCGCCACAGGGGAGGCATGAACCAAACATTAGCCATTATAGGACAAATTACAGTCCTTGAGAAGGCACAAAAAAACAAGGAAACCATTACATAGCATCTGATGAAACAAGTCAGTAGGTAACGTAGCAGTCTTCAGGCCGACCAAAGCGCACCCGCTTATGCGATAGCTTTTGGGGACTCGGTTGATTCTGAAAGGGCGTGGAATTTCCCCTCAGTGGGGAAGAGGAAGACGGTGCAGAAGAAAGACTTTGATTCATGGCTGCTTTAGGGATATTGTTGCGGTATTGCTCTGCTTCCGACAGCGAGGTGAAGGATAGCCTTTCTCCGCTCGGTGGCTGGATATGAAGAACAGCGGGATAAGCCAGGGTGAATTTAACCTGCCTGTGCTAGAGAGTGGAGCAGATCGTAGAGAAGGCCTTACGTTGTTGCATAACCTCCATCGAGTAGTCCGCGAACAAGAGCAATTGGTGCCAGTCTACAGATAAAGCATGCATGCGCCACGATTTCTGAAGAATGTCCTGTTTGTCAGTGTAGTTCAGTTAGCGTACAAGCATCGGCTTTGGTTTAGTGCGAGAATTGGACTGCGGGCCAATACGGTGGGCTCTTTCAACCACACAGCGGTATCGCAGGCCTAGG